CAGTATTAACAGAATTAACAGAATTACAGTATAAATATAATGTGGCAGATAAAAACAGGATTAAGAGTATACAGTGCAAACAGTAGTACCTGTGCAACCTGATTAGGCTGCAGGTACCGCCTAATGCTACAAGTAGTGACAAGGACACTGGCAGAACACAAACCTAAAGAAGAATTAGTCAGGAAAGATAAGGAGACAGATTGTCTGTGGCCACCACATGCAAAATCATTCTCTTTTTGGGGGTTGTCTTGCTTTATTGCAGCTGTTGTCACTTTCATTTGCACCAAGCAGGTGAAATTGATTCATTATCACTTGTGCTTCCTAAATGGACAGATTGATATCCCTGAAGTATAACTGACTTAGTGTTATACTGTGAGAAGTAAGTGTTCCCTTAATTTTTTTGAGCACTGTACATTATTTCTCGGGAGAAAGCAACACAGCTGATTAGCATCAATTTTTTTCAAGGATTTTAGAAAGAAAGGGGAGGATAGATAGATCCTTATTTTTTATTTAAATAATTAGTTATGATGGTTACAGTTTTGGTGAGGGACCAGGGAATGCAGAGAGAGAGAGAGAGAAACCAGATCTTGCTTCCTGTACAAGTCACATTCTGATAGACAAAAACTCATTTGTCCTCGAGCAAAGAGGACAAATGAGTTTTTATCTTTCTCCTCTGTATCTTGCTGATACAGAGGAGAAGGACGCACCCCTGCTCTCATACTGAGATTGCCTTCAATGGGGTCCTTTGAATGTCTGTCTGATGGACCATTTTGAATTTGGCCTGGACTCATTACTCTTCATTTTAATGCACACTTGCTGCGCTGATTTATACATTGACTCCGCAGTTGAAGTCTGGGTTGGTATTGTCAATCCATCATTTGTGGTGCATGCAAGGCACAATACCTGCTATGTTGCATACAATTTTTACCAAGAGGACTGAGGCCTGAGAAGGACGACAGATTTCCTAAACTGCATATTATGATTCACAATGTGTTACTGCTTGTCATTCTGTAGGAAGTGAATGTAACAAATCTGTAGCTCCTTCTGAAGACATGAAAGAAGAACGGATCACTGACCAGTGCAGTGGTGGATGGTCAATAGAGGGTGCTAGGGCCTCCCTTGTGGAGTTTTTAATTTTTTTTAATTTAAAAAAATCTAACATAAACTACGATCAATTATTTAAGTATTTCCCAATGTGTGTTGTATAACATAAATAAATGTGTTCAGTGGATTTGTGTGGGAAACGAGTGTTCAGGCACACAGTCTATGGTTCAGGGGCACTGGAAAAATCGCCAATAAAGCAGAGATGAGTAGCCAATAAGGGACTGTTGCTGGGTAAGATACACGCACGGCAAACTAAACTTTGGCCAATCGACATCGTCAAAAATAATGCCTGAAGGGTGATTCTGATAGCCTCCCAAGCCCTTTCCCTCAGTGTAGTGGTGGAGGAAATCAGGAAATCTTGCGACACTGCCACAGGTATGCATGAAGCAT